CCCTTGTCCCAACTTCTGCTTGAATATTCTTTAAATCTGACGCTAGCAATGTTTGTCGGGATGAATGCTTGCTTCACATCTCTCTTTAACCCTATCAGCCCCACTTTCCAAGATACTGAACACATTTGCAGGAACAAAATGTTTTGTTTCACCCAACACCATTCCCCTGGCCCCCATTTGTCCTAATTGTCACTAATGCTTATGGTGGATCAAATGCAAAATGAACCTTGTTTTTCTCTCTTTCACCTGGCTGGAAAGTTTGAAGCAAAACAAAGTGCTGTGGATCAAATTCGACCGGTCCCTTCTCTTCCCCAGGCTCCATGTTCCCCGTTGGTATAAGGGGGACGATAGATTTGTGCCCTACGGACGTGCTGTGAGCATCAACTCCTTGATGGCTGCAATGTGCTTGAAGCTCTTCCATTGGGGGCTCAGTTGTATACCAGCAGACTGCATTTTTGCTGCTAATCTGCAGAAAACAAGCTGGAGAGGAAGCAGTATTGAGATTGGAAATTCAGGCGCCTGGCCTAAACCTTATGGAGGGGGGTAAGTGTCTATTTTTTAATAGCTTCAACCATTGGCAAACACTTTGCTGCAGTGGCTCAGCGAGGTTTATGCTGGCAACAGGCATAGCCTTTCACACCTGTCGGCTGTACGAAACATTGCTGAGTTGAGTTTGGGCTAAGCTCCCAAACTATGAGCTACGTTGAACTCTCCGCAAGCTTCGCTTTTGATTTCAGACAACGGTTTCCTTGCTGCTAATAGAGGGAAGCCTTGTCCGGGGGTTGGAGCGCGTGGAGGGGTGATAATCTCAGTGCCTTGCGGAGTTGAACGTGCAATTGCAAAGTCCGACATATTGTTACAGGCACCTTCCTCCCTCCCCAAAGCATTGTTGCTTTTTATGAGACAAGCATTTATTTGCTTTTTGCCCTTTTCCTTGAGTTCTGACAAATGCGGGAGCCGTAACTCAGAGGGCAAACGGGTGAGGGCTTTGCTCCTTCAGGAGTCCCTAGAAACACAACGCCTTCTCCAGGACAAGTTGTGGAGGCTCTGGGGCTTTTGGTGGATCAGACTGACGATCAAATCCCAAATGCCAAACTTTGCACAACAGGAGGGACCAGAAATGACCCGGAGTCCCCCTTGGCAGTCTTCCCAAGCCGTATTTTGCAGTTTTAAGACTGAGATTCACTTTGGACAAAAATCCAAACCTTGGCGGCTTAACAAAAGCAAACTGAACAGGGCTCGCCACCCTATTGTTTCTTGTGGGATTTCTCAGTGCAGGGCAGAGGATCACCTATTGGTACAAATTGGCCTAGAGCAATTAATGTCAGTGGAGATGATGCTGTCTGGGTTGCCCCAGATATTCTGATTAAGCCAAGGAGTTAATAGACAGGTCCGTCTCAACCCACTCACAGGAAGGATAAATCCAGATCTAGATGCAATGGCTTGTATCAGGGATGAAGGGACATCACAAAGGCTGCTGCGCTCAGGCACGAATCCTTTGCTTAGTCTATCCAGCAAGGGTCTGCTCCCCTAGCTGGTTAGAGCAGGCATCTTCTGATGGAAGTGGTTCCCTATGCTTTGCCCTTGAGCCATCCAAAACTGAGGTCTCTTATGTACAAACACAGAACAGCAGATGATTTCTGCTTACAAAATGTAGCATTTACATAAGCAAGATGGATGCAAGGTAGGAAAAAAATTATTACTCACAACTAGAGCAAAATATAGGATGGAAGCAGAAGAATAGCTGGACCCCGGTGCACTCCAGCCATAGCCCAGGACCCTCCTCAGACCAGCCGCTACCCCAGGACCTACAACACCTAAGATACAGGCCTTCTCTAACTGGAAAGTGCAGGTCTTGGGGCCACCTGTGTACTAGTGAGAAGACAGGAGCATATGGATATAATTTGATTAATAATTCAAAACTATTGCCCATTAAACAAGCGTCTTGGGTTTGGCTTTGGGGAAGTGAAAGGGGCAGTTGCATTGTTTCTGCATTAATAGGAAAAAGGCAGAATGAAAGCAAACCATTGTCCGGCAAAAATACACATAAATCTTGTCGTGGCAAGGGAGCAGAGCAGCAGAGCAGGCAGGGAGCCCAAGGCTGGGAGCAAAAAGCAGAGCAGCAGATCCGTGAAGACGGGGGGATTGGAGTGGCTCTCGGGAAAGGTGCGGGGGCTCATTTGACAAGGAGGTTGCCCCCAACCGATGTAAGAGGTTGAAAGGGAAGGATTGTCTCCAGCATCCTGAGGTCAGGGCATCCTCCGGGAAACTTTCCATTAACTAATCGCTATTTGTAGCATCTCAAGGGTGAGATCGCGACTCTATTACGCTTGACACTGTATGCTTGTCTGGGAAGAGGTGCACCCTGCCCTTAAATGCTGAATAAATAAGGCAGACAAAGAGAAGGAAGAAAGGCCTAATGACTATGCCTATTATACAGAGGGAGAAATGAGGAACCGGGAGATTAAGTGACATGCCTTTACCGCAAGGCAATTCTCTCTTCATTCATTATTGTTTATTGTCTCCTCCAGCGTGGTGACCATGCCTCTGCCTGAAGGCAGCCGGGTATCGCTCTGTGTGAGCCAACTCCCTTCCATGCACCAGCCAAAGGGACCCACTAGACATTTGGACACAAAGGACTTCCCTCCCTCCATCATCGTGGTGCTGCGTAAGTGGTCAGCTGTTACAGATGCTGGATAAAAACTATGCACAGGTGGGTAGATATATGAGAACTATATAGCACTATCTTCTTCTTTTTTTTTTTTTTTACCTGAAAGTCTTGTTTTGCATTTCCAGCTGCTGTTAGTATTGCACCCGCTTGATATGAAGTACCACTTCTAGAGGAAAGGATGGGTCCAGTGCCTCAGTGAAAGAGCTAGCACCCCGGGTCATTGGTTCGCATTAACACCAGCCCCAACCGCACTAGCAACATTGCCACCAACAGAGAAGTGTGCAGCGATCTCCAGGGACTTCAGGTCTCTGCCCAGTTCACACTGACCGGACAACTGGTCATCTCACTAATTTCCACTAATGGGTATCTGTAAAGGTGAACTCTCCCTCCTTTCAAGTCAGGGTGCAGCTTAACTGACTTTTCCGGCAACTCACCCTGCCCATGCCAGTAGCTTGAGTGCCGAAGTGTGTGGCTGGCAGTGCAGAAGTCATGCGTTTGAGGCCCTGCACCACCTCTGTCTCTGCAGAAAAGGACCTGGGGGGTTACGTTGGACAGTAAGCTGAATATAAGCAGCAGTGTGCTCTCGTTGCCAAGAAGACTAATGTCATCCTGGGCTGCATTGAGAGGAGCGGTGCCAGCAGATCCAGGGCTGTGATTCTTCCTCTATTCAGCACTTGGGAGGGCACATCTGGAGTCCTGTGTCCAGTTTTGGGCCCCCCACTACAGAAAGGAGGTGGACACATTGGAGAGAGTCCAGTGGAGGACAATGCAAATGGTTGGGAGGTTGGGGGACAGGACTGGTGAGGAGAGGCTGAGGGAACTGGGCTGATTTAGTCTGCAGAAGAGAAGACCGAGGGGGATTGAACAGCAGCCTCCAGCTGCAAAGAGGATGGAGCTGGACTGGTCTCACTGGGGGCAGATGCCAGGACAAGGAGCAATGGGCTCAAGTTGCAGAAAGGGAAGTTTAGGTTGGATATTAGGAAAAACTTTCGCACTAGGACGGTGGTGAAACACTGGAACAAGTTACCTAGAAAGATGGTCTTCAAAACCTCCAAGGATGGAGAGGTTTTGAGGATCCTTGGAGGTTTTGAAGACCCGGGTAGACAAAGCCCTGGCTGGGATGATGTAGCTGGGGCTGGTCCTGCTTGGAGCAGGGGGTTGGACTAGATGTGACCCCCTGAGGTCCCTTCAACCTGAATTTTCTGTGATTCTGTATTGATGGAAAACTTTCAGTGCTGCTCTTTGGATAAGGAGAAGACTCCTTTCTCCAGGAATTTTAGTCTGAAAGCTTTCTGGAGCACAGAAAACTATGGGGAACAGGAAAAACAAATCCCTTGCCATGTTTATTATTTTCCATTTAGCCAACATTTAACCTTTGGGGAAGTCTCAGTACTTCCATGTCTAGCACAGCTGGGGGTGGTGAGGTAAGTCCCTTTCAGAGAAGATCTGCTTCTTGCTTCTAAGCCACGGTGCTGGCCAACACCAAGCAAACCCCCCCGGACTGAGGATAAAAGAGCTATGCAATAAAAAAGAGAAAGTACTGCGTGTGCAGTTTATCTACGTGCCATTGCATGCTGGGGCCGGGCAGCAGCGAGACTGACATTCCTGTCTCCTTGAAGCTTTCCACAGAAACTTATTGAGAAAAAAAAGATGAGATCAGCTCTGCAGAGGGACAACATTGCCCTTAAACATTGCCCCGTCTCAGTGCTTTACAGCAAGAGCTGCCTGTATTTGACCTAGGAGAAGTGTTTTACAAACGCTTGCTCCCGGGCTGAGATCTAACCAAACTCCAGGCGCAGATCCTCCCAGATCCCGCCCCGTCCCATTTGGGAATTGGGAAAGGTGAGTGAGAAGCTGAATGGATCCCCTCGACTAGAAGTGATCGGACCCACAGTGATGGGCAGAGAGTATCTCACCCTTGATAAACTCGAGTTGTCGGCTTGTTAGTCTATTAACACCTTCCAGTGGTTTGGAGAAGAAGAAGAAACAATCAACCAGCATCTTCCAGCACAATTTCATTGGACTGCCTTTGCCATGCTACAGACCAGCCAAGTAGTAGCATTGCTAATAATATCTATACTGATCCATCATCCGAAGGATATCACATACCACTAAAGAACCGCTTTGAGAAGCTACCGCTTCCCTTATGGTTTGCTAAAAGTGAGGGTGGTTGACCCAAAGAATCAGGAACTGGACTTCAAAGGCGTGTGCGCTCTCGGGGCCCACGCTCTCTCTTAACCAGGGTACATTATATTATTTATTAATTACCTATGGGTAACGCTTGCAATGACTTCCCCTCCTTTCACCTTCCTATTTGTGCTGGCAGGTAAAAAAACTCCTTGAAAGGGAAAACCTCGGTGAGAACATGTTACAGAAACAGAAGAAAGGTGAAACCCCAGTTTTCAATCAGATGCTCTGTGCCAACAAGAGGTTTCTGACTGTGCAGCTTCAGGTATCTTTTCAATTTGACCCAAGACTAATACATGAGCGGTGTGTCCATCTTATGTTCTGACCTGTAAAGGTCCTAGGACAGCCGGAAGGATATCATTTCATTTGCTCACTTTTTGCAGTTATTTAACCTGGATGGTGAAACTGGTCTGGCCAGTTTCTGGTCCTTGTCCTTGTGCACCTGTTGAACGTTACTATTCAAATCTAAAGGGAGCGTTTGCCAAAAAAATACGAGGAGGAGAATAAAATCTAGCTCTGCATCACCAAGTCCCCGAGACTGCTCTCACGCAAAGCCTGCAACTACCTGCTGTCTCTACGGGGGTGTTAAGAAAGCCACTTCCACGTAGCAAACAGTGGTGTGATGATGGCAAATGCAGACATTTTTTGAGCTAATGCTAACCTCGTGCAGCAGGTGCCAACCTTTTTGGTGCGTGCATGCCATAAATTCGCCTTGCATCCTCCCCCAGCACCACTCCTATCCCTTTCCCTGGCCTGATCTGCTGCTCTGCTTTCTGCTCCCAGCCCTGTGCTGCTTTGCTTTCTGCTTGCTGCTCTGCCTTTTCATTTGCTGATCTGCCATGTGCCATGCAGAAAGGCTGCCCATACCACTCGCGCCCCAGGTTGGCTACCTCAGATCTTGGATACTGGGAGCAGTGAAGCCGGCACGGCACAGGCGTCAGTGCAGCATGCACATCTACCAGTGCACATCCAGCAGCTGCAAGCCATGCCTCTGTGGCTTCACTGCTAGCTGTTATTCCTATTTCCAGGTGATAAAATCATGCCTTTCTCCTGCATCACCTAGGTTTCATAGTTGCATAGTTTCTAGAGTCAAAAGGGACCTGAGCAGATCATCTAGTCCGACCCCCTGCCATGGCAGGAAAGAGTCCTGGGGTCAAATGACCCCGGCAAGGTGTACATCCAGCCTCCACTTAAAGACCCTTAAAGGTCACAGCCTGGAACAAGCCACGTGGAGATGGATGCCCCTAGATCCTAACCAGACTGATACTGGGAATAAATAAAACAACACTGTGATTTTAACTGCAAGCAAGCACATCAACTCCACTCCACGCAGGCTATTTAATGTCACGAGCTTTTTTTTTTTTTTTTTTTTTAAGGGGACATTTTAATCATTCCTGCCTAGGTTTCATCTTTTGCCTGTGAAAGTGAGTTGGGGGGGGGGGCTTGTCTCTAATCTTTGTCACCGCCCTGGATCAGACCTCACTCCAAATCTCTCTTGAGGTCTTACAGATCAATCTGCACAAGACATCAGGAGACAGGCCCGAGGAGCGATGGCTAATAAACCTAAAGTGCTGGTTGTCGTCTGTTGTTGGCTTCAGTCCCAAATCACATGCATTAGGAATGCTGAAAAAAAGAAGAAATATGTAGGAAGCCAACATTTCCACATGCCGAACGATGAGACTTTCTGCCAGGAATCCTCTTGCCAGACAACTGTTTGGACATGGTGCCATGCTTCAGTAGAGTTATATGATTCAATCCCCCCAAGGGTGTATGTTACAACTGTATCTGGCTCCTTCCAAGATAAATAGTCCATTTTCAAGACTGAAGTTTACTGTATATATCCAGGGCACAAAAGTATACATCTCTAATTCAGAAAGAAAAAAAAAAAGGCAGCGGGATGATGATTAGCCCAGGTTGTAGCCTGCGCTCAGTGTAAACACTCGTGCATCTGTAGAAAGGCGAGCCAAAGTTGAGAGGAGAATCGCTTATGCTGCGTTGAGATCTGCTGTTAAACAGGAGATATTTTAGCTAGTCCACACCAGCACAAGCTTATCTTGGTTAACCCTTCCTGGATCTCACCTCCCATCGCCGTGTGGCTCTTCCCATTGACTGCGATGGGAGTCGGATTGGCTTAACTTGGTGACAAGAGATGGACCCGAACACCAGCCACTTGTGAACACCTTGGCTGAAATGAGCTACGGTTGTAGGAAGGAAGGACGAAATTAAGAGACTGTTGTCAAAGGTGTTTTGAAGTCCCAGATGCCAACGGGCTACTTTTAGTGCCTTGAACCTTTTGCTGGTGAGTGAGAGCAACAGGTGTCATCTGTAAAACAAAGGAAGCAAATATAACGTGATTTTCTACGATTGCATGCAAGGCACCAGACAGAGGCTGAATGAAGCCCACTGGCCCTTGGAAGCCAGCTCCAAGCAAGAGCCAAGGTGAAGGAGAAACACTCCTGCCCCTTTACCTCCTGCCTGCTCTTAACGCCGTGGCCTCCTCAGTGCCGTGCTCAGGCATGCAATAAACTGATAGAAATAGCAATCCTGGCATGACGATGATTGTGGCCACGTGAATAATAAAGGAGCACAAGCACCATTTATGGACTATTAATTAGGGTGATATAAATAATAACCCGATTTTCATCCTCATTCTGGGACCTGAACGTGGAGCATAATCATGGCTTATGGAAGGGAGCAGGGGGTTGGACGCCGAGTCCTAGGCCAAGAGAGTCGGCTCCTTCCTCCTCCTTGGCAGGCACTGCAGCCGTCCCTGCTTTCCTGAAATAGCTAAGAGCTGGGGTTGAGTCAACGGGAAATCAAGACCTGGCAGCTGGCTGAACCACCTGCGTCTGCTCTGCCACCCCCACGCTGATCCCCTCCCCGGAGGCCACGTCCAGTTGTGGAGCAGGACGGAGAATCCCAGTGACTCGAAATTAAGCTGGGGGGGAGCCGCGGAGAGGCACCCCGGACTCCAACACTGAGTCTGTTGTGGAAGAGGATTATGGCTGGAATTAGTGCCGGTGGATGCAGACGAAGTCTCGGGGCAGCAACTGCGAGTCTCCTTTCCCCCAGCCCCTTCCCGGGGAATCTGCCAAGCCAGCCAGCCTCCGAGTCACCCTGGTGTGTCGGACGTGCACAGCTGTATGTGCGCCACTGCTAATCCATCTGCACAAGATGCCGCGGGCCAGCTGCTTCGCTGGCAGTAGGCAGGGAGGGGAGTGCAAAAGCAGGTGGTCGTGCAAGGCCCAGGTCCTGCAAGTGCCCCCACTTGAGGAGCATTTGAGAAGCAAATCTCAGCCTGGTGAATTTGGGTGGGAGGGAAGGTCCCATGAAAACCCTGCATAGCAGCCATGCAGCGGGGGAACTGCCTGTGTCCCCCTTTACTAACCGCCCTCGAGATAAACCCTGGCTTCTTCGACCTCTGAAACCAGTAACCTCCTTCTTGACTCCCAACACGTGTCCGTGGCCCAGCACCATCACGCTCCTCTCCATCTCTGCCAGTGCAAAATACCATGGAGCTGCTCGGGGAATTTGTGCGCATGGAGGGCAGGAGGAGAGGCGCCCTCTGCTCCCTTCGCATTTGGACCCGTCTCTGGATGGGACTGCATGGTTCCCGGAGCAGGAGGCTGCTACATCCCCCACATCTCTCTCTGAAATACCTAGTGGGAGAGAGCTGCCAGCTGGAATCAGTGCCTCAGTTTCCTCACCCGCAATAAAAATAATACCTCCATCACCCTTCATGAGAGAGAGTCGAGTCAAACTTGTAAAAGCCTCGTTCTCTGCATGTGGCAACAGAGAGGGGTTCAGACGACCTCCCTCCTATTCCCAGCCCTGACACAGACGTCCTCTGGCACCCGGGATTCCCGATTTCGGACCAGGTGCCCTTTGCGCAAGGAGCTGTACAAATGCGCATCAAAAAAAAAAGTCCCCTTCCTGCACTGCTTGTAATCCCAGCTTAATCCCCTCCGTGCCCTTCAGTTCCTCCTTTGCAAAAGGGAAGCAGCAATTCTTCCCTCTCCCCAACCTTTCGTCCAGTTCTTTGTGGCAGGACTGACTCTGGCTGTTTATATGTACAGTACCTAGCGCAACATGGCCCGGACCTCAGCTTGGGCCTGTTGGTGCTGTTGCAATGCAAGCAACGATAATGTTCGCTTGATATCTGTGAAGTGGTCGGAGGACCCCAGAGAAAACACCTACGCAGCTCGGCCTTCTTTCACTCGAGTCATGAATCCCTTTGAGTTAATTTGAGTCAAATGAATCCCTTTGAGCCATCAGGGCCAGCAGATGGATTGCAGATCCTCCTCTCCCCCACCGGATAAATGCCTTGCCGTAGGCTCCAGAACACGCAGCCTGCTTGCCTCCGATTAGGGCCGGTGCTGCTTTCCAGCTTTCTGTCACCACGCTATTGTTTTATAACTCGATACCTAATTTATTTTAAATGACAACAAATAATTTGGCAGAATTCCTCCCTCCTCTTTCTGGCAAATTCTGCTTTCAGATTGATAAAGCTGTTACATTGGGTTTGATTCTTCGTGGGGGGGTGGATGGTTTTGGGTAGGAACCCACAGACTTCAAGGGGATCTTTGGAAGAGTCCCGCTGATGCCCCCTCCCGGGTGCCAAAGCTGTCTGTCAAAAGACAGGCATCCGTGCCAAGACTCTGTAATGACAAAGAGAGGCATAATATGCATAGCCATAGCCTGGTGGGGCTGGGATCCAGGGGCCCCCTGCCCATCGCAGACACTAATACAAAGAGGGGATGGGCTGTGCGCCGTGGGACTGATAAAGGGACTCTTCTGCTTGTTGCTTACTAATGAGCTGGACTCATTTTTTTTGCCTTGGTGCATTGTCAGGAGGAAAGGAAATCCGTCCGTTCGGAGTATGTAGAGGGAGGGCAGGAACCAGGGTGAAATATTTCTTGTGTGCACAACAGCAGTGGCGATGGTGGGACTGGAGTGGGAACTGGATGGCGGGAGGTAAAAAGGATGGGAGGGAGTCATGGGTTGAGGGCTTTCCATATCTCTGCTCAGCATCCTTGGCTCCAACCCAACCCAACTCAACCCAAATTATAGCCTATGACTATTGGTGTGACAGCAGCTTCCAAGCTGATCCTGCTCGAAGCTTCTAGGTGTGACATCTGGGATGCAAGAGCCCTGGGGTTTGAGCTGCTTCTTCTGCCGGGAGAGCTCGGTTATCCATCCTTTGTGCAATGCCTTCGCAGTCACATCCATGCTGCTCTGGGTGGGTGCAATGTAGCCCCGCTTGAGCTGCTTTCGAGCCACGTTCCCACACTGCTCATAGGTGCCTGGGTCACCTCCATGTTGGTGAAATTCAAATACAGAAGAATTGCACACCTATTTCCACCAGCATTGGTCATCTGCACTTTTGAAAGCTTCCACCCGGGGCCACAAACTTTGGGTGCCATGCTTTCCGGTATCCAGCCTGAGACACTTTGGGAGCGTTTTCTAAGGATGGCGGAGGCCACGGCTGTCGGATGCAAGTGTCCAACAGGCCTTGGGGGTTTCAAGACTGCGGCACCCGCATTCAGTAGCTGCTTTGGTAAAGGAGGCTCCAACTGACTCCTTTAAGCTCTTCTAGAAAGTCAGTGGCAAAGCTGTGATTCAAACCCAGATGCCCCCGAACCCCTGTAATGTACTCAACCTGCCCTCCCCAAGGGTTTTAACCACTAAATTGCTCTCCTCTCCCTAGGATCATGCTTCCTCCTAATCTTTCCTTGACTTGCCCAGAAGTCTGGAGTTCACCCTGCTGAGAAGTACCTCATCCATCACGGGTTGATACAGGAGACAGGGACACCTACTAATCTCAGCTGCAGCCCCAGTGCTTTTGACATGCTGTGACCTATCGGTTCATCCTGACACGAAGTCGAAGGCTGCGTCTCCCATAGCTGGTGGGATATCTAATCACTGGCAGGGCTGCTGCGTGGGAGTTCACGCACGGTGGCTCCTTGCTTTGTGGGCTGCAGTTGGGATTTTTTAAATTATCGTTATTTTAGAGGAACTGGAACTATTAAGTGATGGGAAGTAAAAATGTCTCCGATGCCAGAAGAGGAGAATGCACCAGGGACTCTGCTGGGAGAGCTCATCCAGGCCAGTAAAACGCAGAGGAGGTGCTTGTGGAGTCTCATCTCTTTCTAATGATGTGCTGTCACAGGTGTGTTCAAATGGGAGACGTGCCCTGAATTCAGCCGCCTGGAAACAGCCACAGTAATAATACTTCCCACTTATGCGCTGCCTTCCCCCCCGGTCCTCAGGGCACTGGGTTGATGTTAGTTTGGCAGACCCCACGACACATGTGAGCCCGTGGGAAGACGTCAGACCTAATGCAAGGAGGGGAGGAAAGTGATAATGAAGGGAAAGCGGTGATTACGCCTTTGCCATGCATAGCTGTATAAATCAGCCTCACTCCACTGTCTAATAAACCTCTTTACCTCTGCTGAGTATCTGGCTTTTTATGTGCAGAAGCAAGGATGCGACTTCCTGTATCGCCTTTTCCCACAAGATGCAGGTGCCGCTGTGCCCCCTGGGCAGCCGTAGCCTTGAAGGTCAACGAGGGAGGAGGATAGGCCATGATCCCTGGAGGCAGCTGGGATCCCTACTGTGAGCTATTTTCCACCCTCTGGGCTTTTGCAGGGCTCAGGCAGGAGTGATAGAGGCTGGCACTGAGCTCCTCTCCGAGGAAGCGAGGGGATCACGGAGGGTCTGGGATCCAGGGGCCCCCTGCCCATCACAGACACTAATGCAAAGAGGGGATGGGCTGATAAAGGATCTCTTCTGCTTGCTGCTCTCTAATGACCTGGACTTGT